TATATATATATATATATATAGTGTTTACAAAACATAATTACGTACATAGTTATCTACTTTCATTGAGTTCGCTAAAATATGCTAATTATTTGAGAAAGTGAATTTCATTTACTTTCATCAAGATATGGAATAACTAAACTCCAATTCTAACGAAACTCCGGTTCTTTGTACTTCAATTCAGTGATCAAAGTGCACAATGATGCACTAATATGGTGTGTTCATGACTAATGCAGCTTATAGAAAATATTTCATCTGCCAATTGATTTGTCACAATGATCGACTTGTACGAAGAAATATTTGGCAAGCTCTCTAAAATCTCCTTGAAACTAGCTAGTGTGAAGTCGTCCTCATGCCAAGTATACAGATATGACAAAATACATCCGGTTAGGATTTATTTCAGCTGTAGCTTGTCGTTGTCTCTTTCTTACCAGACGGAATACAGAGTTAAAAGCATCTTATCAATTTGGTAATTGTCAACTGTGGATATAGATTTAGGTTATGTTAAAGAGTGACTGACTGATATTCTATCTTGTAATGATGGATTGGTTGAAAGAGGTTTTGAAGTGGTCAAAATATGAAATCAAGGAGTTTGGGGCAAGCGCCCAGTCCAAGTGTCTAGGCGCCAATTGGGTTGAAAAAGTGGTTTTGGAACAGAGATTCAACGGTTAGGTGCATTCGGAGCACCAACACACTGCTTTCCTACCGCGAGGTTGCGCTCGAGCGTAGGCGCAACATTATTGTGGCTTTGTACAACATTAGAGAACAAGACAACATTGTAGACACAAAATCATTGTATTCTTTCTCCTTATTTTAGTAGATTATCCCCCTTTGCCAATTTTTTGTGTTGTGATTGCCACTTCATATTTTGTCAAATATCTCGCATATTTCTAGCAATTGGTATCAGAGCCAAGTTCTTATTCATAGAGAGGTTTTGATTTTTTGCGATGGCAACTATGAAATATGATATTCCGCTTTGGATCGCAACACTAGATTTTTGTTGTGGCAGGTAAAGACGCGAGCAATGCTCGCTCAAATAGATTTGGATGATGTTTTGCTGGAATTTGATAAGATATGTACAACTGGACGCTAGAAAAGAAACAATGCAAGGATTGAAAGGGCCCATCACATATTCATTTACATCTTTTGAATTGTATTTGTTTGAAGGAAAAATCGATGTTGCATTATGCAATAAGTTAGAGTAATTATGCATGATGAATAGTTTGCAGCGTTTATATTCTCACCGTATGACAAAAGGTACATCACCTGTAGATTACCTATCTGTTTTTAATAAAATTGTTGCTGATTTGGAAACTCTAGAGGTTAAGTATGATGAAAAAGATTTAGGGCTGATTTTGTTGTGTTCGTTGTTCGTTTCATATGTCTTTTAGAGACACAATCTTATACAGTCGTAATAATTGCATCATTGAAAAAGTATAAGATACACTATTTACAAAGGAAAGATGAAGCATCTTGTTGGATCTGGGACTCATGTAGATGGTCTTGTTGTCGATGGTGGTTATGTAAGGGGTAGATTGAGTTCTAATGACAATAATAAAATTTATAACTATTGCAAGAAGAAGAGGCAAATAAAGAATGATTGTCATAAGTTGCACAATAAAGAAAAATCAGTTACTACAAATTAGAAAGGAAAACAACTAGAAATTTCTGGTAAAGCCGGTATAGCAGAGGATTTGACGTCGGATAGAATAACGATTATTCTGCAAACTGATTGAAACAGATAATTAACAGAGAAGAAAGCAAGAGAAAATGCCAAAGAAAAGACAAAACTTTAATATTCCATTCAATAATTCGAAAATAGTCCACAAGCCGGACTATATAGCTAAAGAAATCGCAATTATTGAAATTTTACAAAAAATGGAAAAATCCCATTATTCTTACCAAAAGAAAGTATGTAATAAAAGAAATAATATCCTAAAAATCTGGCTAAAATAGAGTTCGTAATCACTTTCAAAAAGGCAAACGAAATATTACTAAAAAAGAAAAAAATAAATTAAATAGAGAATTTTACCCTGGAAAATGGTTCGCACCGAGCATACCTGGGTGGCCATAATGTGTGCACTGAAAAGAGCTTTTCGAATTGGGATCATGAGCGCGATTCCGATAATCGTAGCCAAAGTTATGGCCAAATTACCAAAATACGTCCGAATATCGCCCAATTAGGAAAAGATTCCATTCACATGCCATATTTGCATTGATCTGGCAACTCGTGATATCTTAGCACAATCAACGTGCTATCTGATAGCTCAGCATCATTTGAGTCGGATATTCCTGCATCTGTCGTCCCGATTTGGAAAGAACTCGCCCTCGAGTTCGCAACAGCTTCATTAGAATCTATAAAACAAGGGCTCATGTGTTTCACGTTAAAGACATCAGAAGTCTTCAAATGGCTGGGAAGATGCAATTTGTAGACATTATTATTGATCTTCTGCAAAACCTTATAGGGTCCAATCTTTCGCTCCTTTAGCTTATTATACTCCCCAACCGAAAAACAATCCCTAGTCAGTACTGTCCAAACAAAATCACCCCACATCAAAAAGGACCTGACGACGGTGGCTATCGTACTTGGCATTACTCCCGTGAATAGTTAGCTTCACCTGTTCATGGATACCTTAAAGGTGTTCCGCCATCTCATCTACCTTGGGATTCAACACGTGGAATAGGGGCTAAATCAAGCACCCCGGATGGGTTCTGACCATAGACAATCTCAAATGGACTTAAGCCAGTGGTTCTGTTCTTCAACCTATTATAGGCAAATTCTGCTTAAGGTAATGCTAAATCCCACTGGTTCGGGTTAGTACCTAATAAAAACCTCAAAAAGTTGCCCAAACTCCAGTTTACCACATCGGTCTAATGCCAATGCCAACGCCTGATGCACAATTTACCTTGAACACTTTGTCAAAATCAAGAAATGCTAACACTGATGCTTCGGTCATCTTCTGCTTGAACAGTTGAAATCTAACTTCTGCCTCCTCAGACCATTTGAAATCACGTCCTTTGAGGCACTCAGTGATAGGAGCAATCAAAGTGCTGATGTTTCTGATGAACCGTTGATAGAAGGATGCTAATCCGTGGAAGCTTCTAACATCGTGCAAGTTCTTCGGTTTAGGCCACTCTAAGATTGCATCTATCTTTGATTGTTTTATATGAACACCATCAGTAGACACAACAAAACCAAGAAAAGTTATAGAAGTAGTGAAAAATGAACACTTCTTCTGATTCACAAATAGACACTCTTGTTTTAGCATCTCAAAAACAGCACGGAGGTGATTAAAGTGTGACGCCCACGTCGGACTATAAATGAGAACATCGTAGAAGTAAACCACAATGAATTTTCTCATAAAATGTCGTAAGATCTGATGGATAAATCTCATGGATGTGCTGGGCGCATTGGATAGCCCAAAAGACATGACCATTCACTCATATAAGCCGTGACGTGTCATAAACGCCGTCTTCCATTCATTTCTAGGATTTATTCTGATCTGGTGGTATCCGCTTTTAAGGTCAATTTTTGTGAATACCTTAGAATCGGACAGTTGATCTAACATATCATCCAGATGGGGAATTGGAACTTGTACTTCACAGTAATTTTATTTATTGCTCGGCTGTCAACACACATACGTCATGAACCATCTTTCTTCGGCACAAGCAATGTAGGGACTGTGCAAGAGCTCATACTTGCGCGAATATAACCCATCTCTAATAACTCCACCACTTATCGCTGCAACTCTTCAGCCTCCTTGGGACTGAGGTGATATGCTGGTCGATTAGGGAAACTCGACCCTAAAACAAGATCAATTTGATGCTGACCCAGGATGAAGGTCCTCTGGCATCAGGTCAGCAAACTCTACTAGCAGTTGCTGCACCTCTACGGGTAAATCAGAATCCACTAACATTACTTCACTATTCCTGTAAGGCAATAGAGCATATACCATGTTCTCATGCTCAACCTCATTTAAGAACCTGGACATAGAAAGTAGGTTAGTGTTGTTGGCTACCAGGGTAGGAGTGGGTCCTTCCCGCCGGGCTCCAATACGATCCTTTTCCCTTTAATGTTAAGGGGATACATATTCTTCCGTCCATCATGAACAATACTGCGATCATACTGCCAAGGTCGANATGATAGGCATCCATTGACACGACATCACACCAAGCATTATCAAAATATTTTCTGCCAATTGAAAAAGATACGAGGCATCGTCTATCTGCTGTTACCTCACTGTCTTTATTTAACCACGACAACTTGTATGGTTTGGGATGACGATCTGTTTTCAACTGCAATTTCTGGACAGCCTCCTCGAACACTACATTCTCACAACTACCACTGTTGATGATCATTTTGCAGACTCTATCTGCAACTGTGCAGGTCGTGTGAAAGATATTGGTTATCAACCAATCATTTCCTGAATCTCCCTTGGGGGTCAGTAAACTCTTATGAACAACCAGGGTCTCATGGCCATCTCCATACAACAAAATCAACTCCATAATCATCATACACGGGTTCTACAAACTCCTCAGTTTCATCTACTGCTTCTTCCTCAATCAGAAGATTTTTACCATTCTGACTAGCTGGTTTCCTACAATCAGTTGCCCTATGCCCCTGTTCACCACATCTGAAGCACTTAATATTTGAACTAGAAGTCTCCCGTGGTGGCTAGGACCAGGACGGAATGCTGGGGTGGCGAACTGGCTGGTTACTTTCGTTCCGGATTACCGGCCTCCTACTCTGCTCCTTTTCCACCTTCAGTGCACGCCGGTATACCTCAGAAATGGTCCACAACAAGTGAAAGCTGAAGGCATCTTGTATGGATTGTCGTAATCCCCCCAAATATCGTGCCACCGTCTGCTCTTCTGTCTCAGATAAGTCATTTCGGGCAACAACTGATAGAACTCTTCCGTATAATCTTCAACTGATATGATGCCTTGCTTAAGGGAATGGAGCAGCTGAATCAAAGTTTGGGTGTAGCCGAAAGGAAGGAAGTGACCTTTCATTTTCTCTCAATCAGTGATCTTGGTCTTGCCCTGCCTATCTTGTGAATGCCTCAGTTGTTCCCACCATGCAGACACTCTTTCTTTCAGTTTGATGGCGACCAGTTTCACTTTGATATGATCTGGGACTTCCTTAAACTCGAAAATACGCTCCACTTCATTCAACCAATCAACAAATCTTTAAACCTGCAATGTACTAGAAAACTCAGGCAGATCCACTCTGAAGTCGAAGTCTCCATGACGATCCTCCCGACCACGGTACTTCCCGAATAGGGCACGATGGTGATATGGATTTTCGAAACTGGAATCGAATTTGTGACCCTCCACTTTACAGATATCCTGTGTCGCTAGACGTTGGGTTAATTTTGCAACTTGCCTCTGCAAATCTTCAATCAACACATCCTAAACATTACGGTCACGATTTGGGACTTTCTCATTCGGAACTTGCCCACGACTACCACGACCATGACCAATGTAAGCTGATGAAGTCTCACCTCAGGAAGATGCTGATGCTCTGATACGAACTGACGGCAGACAGAATAGCGATTATTCTACAAGTTGATTAAAACAGATAATTAACATAGAAGAAAGCAAAAGAAAATGCCAAATAAAAGGGAAAACTTTAATATTCCATTCAATAATTCGAAAATAGTCCACAAGTCGGACTATATAGCTAAAGAAAGCGCAATTATCGGAATCTTACCAAAAATGGAAAAATCCCATTATTCTTACCAAAAGAAAGTACACAATAAAAGAAATAATATACTAAAAATCTAGCTGAAATTGAGTTCGTAATCACCTTAAAAAAGGCAAACGGAATATTACCAAAAAAAGAAAAAAATAACTTAAATCGGGAATTTGAAAGGGAAAACAGCGGATTTTGCCCTCGAAAATGATTCACACCAGCATAGCTAGTTGGCCACTATGTGCGAGCCGAAAAGAGCTTTCCGAATTGGGGTCATGAGCGCGATTCCGATAACCGTAGCCAAAGTTATTGCCAAATTACCAAAACACGTCCAAATATAGCCCAATTAGGAAAATATTACATTCACTTGCCATATTTGCATTGATCTGCCAACTCGTGATATTTAGCTCAATCAACGTGCTATCGACAGCTCAACGTCATCTGAGTCGGATGCTCCTACGTCAAGATTGCTATAGTGATAGAGAACTTTTGATTGTTTTTGACAATGACTCCAAACTTGACGAGAATTACATTCTTGATACAGTGTGCCTTTTTCATATATGACCCAATTGGAATTTATTTTCAACATATGAGCAGTTTGAAAAGGTTATGTGATAATGGGTAAAAATGCATCTTGTAAGAACAAGGTATATAAAGGGTTAGAATTAAGATGCTTTAAAGAGTGACTCAAATTTCATCTTGTATTGATGGATTGGTTGAAAGAGGTTTTGAAGAGGCCTATGGAATTAAGGAGTTTGGGGTAGAGATTGGGCGCCTAAGCGCCAATCGGGTTGAAAAATTGGTTTTGGAATAGAGATTCAAGGCTTAGGCACCATTTGGAGTGTTGCCACGCTGCATGCCTGCCGTGAAGTTGGGTGCTTGAGCGCCGCTTGATAGGCGCAAGCCTGGCCACTCGAGTGGCCGTGTTATCCGAGCAGATTTTGTTAGCGATTTTTGACATGTTTTTTGATACTCTTTTCATCTAAAACATATTCTTTTGGTTTGTATAAACACTCCACGTATTTTTTGCTTTGTACAACATTAGAGAACAAATTAGACAACATTGTAAACACAAAATCATTGTATTCTTTCTCTTTATTTTAGTGGATTCTCCTCCTCTGCCATAACCTGACATTTTGTGTAGCTATAAATGGAGGAAGAAATCTCGAAATTGAAATTGACAACATGGACACTACTTTCAGCTTACTAGACAATTTTGTCATTCGTTTAAAATGTATTACTTGCATAACCTACATTGTGCTCTGGCTCGCCTTTCTTATTTGGAGTCGTTGATTCACATTGTATGATATGATTAGCATATTCTTAAATAAAAGTTCTTTCGTTTTTTGTTTTTTCCCCATCAAAAGTGAAGTAAAATGGAAATATCAGTCGTCCCTTAAACAGATAACTATGGCAGTGTAAAAAATTCAATCTTACAGTATGATAAACTCATTTACAAACTAAAGTTGTTAAAATATGAAGACTTTCCATGTCTTTATTTTACATTTTTCACTACAGAAATTGATCCTATAAACAATTCTTAACCTGTGTGCAGAAGGGATGCAGATTGAGAAGCATCAGTAGACGATGTGGAGTTTAAGGCATTAGAACTGTAACTACGGCTTGAAGTCTGGACTGGATTGACACCACTGGATTGTGAAACCAATGATGCAAGCGAATGTGGTGGAGCATAATATGTCAAGACTGGCAACTCTGATGGGAGTAGGGGTAATTGAGCGTCAAAATTCAGGACATGAATCGCTTCCCTTATTGATGGCCGGAAATTGTAATCAGGGTGAGCACACCAAAGCCCAACAATCATCAGGCATTCGATTTCCTGCTCGTTATAGTCTGCACATAGTTTTGGATCAGCTGCTTCAAGTAGGTTCCCCGTTCCGTAGAGGTCCCAAACCCACTCCACCATCCTTATTCGTTTTCCCTGTGCCTTGACATCAATGGGTTTTCTTCCACATGCAATCTCCAGTGCAACTATGCCAAAGCTGTAGACATCTGATTCCTTGCTAGCCTTGCCAGTGGTTACACATTCTGGTGCCATGTATCCCATGGTGCCTGCTAAGACAGTTGTTTGGGATCCCTTTTCGTGATCAACGAGCCTTGCCAAACCAAAATCCCCAAGTTTAGCATTAAAGCTTGAGTCCAACATAATGTTACTCGATTTTATGTCCCGGTGCACGACACATTGCTCCCACTCTTCATGTAGATATAGCAAAGCCGAAGCCAGGCCATGGGCAATTTTGTACCTCGTTTCCCAGGTCAACAACGATTTTCCCTTGAACAGATGGAAATCTAAGCTTCCATTTGGCATGAATTCGTAAACAAGTAGTAGCTCTCTTTGTTCATGACACCAACCAAGAAGTTGTACGAGATTTCTGTGCCTTAATCGGCTGATAATCTTCACTTCTGATGCGTACTCCCTTGGCCCTTGTTTCGAATCCTTCGACACTCTCTTCACAGCTATGTATGAATTTGAATCTCTCAAAAATCCTAGATAAACCCCGCCAAATCCTCCTTCTCCAAGCATTTTTTCGTCAGCAAAATTATCCGTTGCACGTACCAATTCTACATATGAAAACTTCTTAGGTCCACAGTCCCTTTCAAATTCCACGTCCATCGTCATATCTAAGGAAAGTTCATCAATTTTTCCCTTCCTATTTTTGTTCCTCCATAAACTCTTACCAATCAAAACCAAAACAAGGACCAAAACAGACAGACCAACAACCAAACCAATTACTAATCCTCCCTTTATTGTCTTTCCCCCAAGGTTCTCTGGGTAAATGTTTGGCACCATTGAAGGATCGGTATAATTAGGACCTTGATTATTGGTTACCATTTCTAAAGTTGAATTGAACTCCCAGGACTTAACGTTATGTTTCTCAAAGCAAGACCCTGTAGCTGCTGAGAAGCCAACAATCACCCACTCAGGTAAGTCTTTTCTCAAATCTACAGTATAGTCGAGGCGACCATTTTGGGTCAGATTTCCCTCGTAACCTGTGAAGATTACACTAAGATTTTTCGAGGTGGAATTATAACTAATCGAAGCATGGTTTTCCTTCCCCTCAGTCATGTTGTTTGACCATTTGACAGTGGTATCGGAAATCAGTGATTTGAAGTCAATACCTACATGTGCAATGGGGGGATCCCAGTCATTTGAAAAAGTATCGAACTCCACTGCCACAAAAGGATCTCCAGATAACTTTGCCGTGGGGTTATGGTAAGGAAGGTCATCGCCAGGGACAAGGCCAATGCCAGGGCCAAGGCCAAGGGCACCACCGGCCGAATTATTAGGTATGCTTGAACCGACAGGAGCCAAGAAAAAGGCGAGTCCATCCCCCCCAGTCCCAGGGCAAGCACTTTCACTGGCATCAATAACAAAGGAGAAATGAGTATAGAAATCTGTCAGGTTACCTGAAGCTTTGTCCCAGAGGTGCAATGGTTCTATATAAGTGGCACGGCCTTTGCTCTGTCCATTTACCTTATTGCTTTCGTCCGTCGTGACCTGAAGGCCTTCAGTAGAGATATACGCATCGCCTGTGACATTTATTCTGTCCGTGTCCTTGCGTTCGATAGTGGAAAAGTTGAAATGCAATGGAGCTGCAATTGCAAAAGGGATTATAAGATACAAAAAAACAGAAACACTACTCCACAAGTTGCAGAGAGCCATGGTTATGAAAATGGAGAGGGAAAAGGAGCAGTTTATGCTTTAATAGTTGAAGGGGAATTCAACAGAGAGAACCTTCAGTTTACTCAGTCCACTGCATGATTCTCCCTTCAAACACGTATAAATTGTGTCTTCTGGATGAACTTGTGGAAATAGTTCCATAACACAGTACGTGTTCACACTTCATATCATAAAATTCAAAGATCTTTACTCAAACTCCATTTTTTTTTAATTGGTATACAATATTAACGAAATTAGACACATTCAGTATAGTAATGTATGATTAAATTTATCAAACATGTCATTTGCGACCATTGTAACAATTGGGCATTTATATTGGACAAAATTGTCACGTTGATAGAGTGTTGTATGATTTACTTTATGAAATGGGTCAATTGTGTCTCATAGGTTACGTGTATTGTGAAACTATGTGTATGTTTAGTAAATCGCTTGCTTACTTAATGATGGGTTTTCATGCAAATATTTAAGTTTAATTTTGCATTTATTTATTTAAAAATACAAGGAGCAACATACCCTCTTCACAACCCACCCAACCACCAGCCCCAACTCTGACAGATTTGACTGGAAATTTGAACCAAAATCAGATGAAGAGGGCAATGAGGGCTTCAAGGTGGTATGTTGGTCCGGCGGCCAAGGTGATCGGAGGTTGGAGAATTTGCCTTCAAAGGTGGTGGCTTAGGGGGTGATGATTTTTTCATGTTTGTGATTGATTTGCACATTTTTAAAAGTTTGGACCCATAATTGCAATTTATTCTGTATTTTTCTTTTCTTTTGTTTTTGTTTTATTTTAATAGAAGGGTAAAATGGTCAAAAATAGACGAAAATGATGTTTTGCGCAAGAAATGGTAAAGGTAGGGACGTTCTGCACCAAAAAAGGAAACGTATGGATGTTTTCCACAAAAATCGTCAAACGTAGGGACTTTTTGCGCCAATTACCCTTATAACAATGAGTAAAAGTTATAGACATTTTATATAATTAAATTGAAACGCGCTTATAATGAAGGAATGAAGAAATCTGTTTCAGGGTGATGGGTTTATTAATGTAACCGGGTTATAGCAGCAGCCCAGGAACAGCCCAGTTCATTGAGAAGGTCCAGCCCAGTTTTAGAATAAATGAGATACATCGTGTTTTATCCTTTCACGTTTTTACTCCTAAGTCTGTTTTTTAGTTGTTAATCTGTTTTCTCTTCATCTATATATGATGGAGCTTTCAGCCATTGTAGTTTGGATCTTCGAACGATAAATATAGAAATTATCTTCTTGCTTCTTTTTGTTCAT